CTCTGTAGAAGAATATCGAATGGCAGAGAACCACTTAAAGAAATGCTCAACCTCATTAGCTATAAGGAAAATGCAAATCAAAACAACCCTGAGATTTCACCTTACACCCATCAGAATGGCCAAGATGAAAAACTCAAGGGCCAACACATGCTGGAGAGGTTGTGGAGAAAGGGGAACCCTTCTCCACTGCTGGTGGGAATGTAAACTGGTACAACCACTCTGGAAATCAATCTGGTGCTTTCTCAGACAACTAGGAATAGCGCTTCCTCAAGATCCAGCCATACCACTCCTAGGCATATACCCAAAAGAGGCGCAAGTACACAAAAAGGACATTTGCTCAACCATGTTTGTAGCAGCTTTATTTGTAATATCCAGAAGCTGGAAACAACCCAGATGTCCCTCAACTGAAGAATGGATGCAGAAACTGTGGTACATCTATACAATGGAGTATTACTCAGCAATGAAAAAATAAGGAAATCATGAAATTTGCAGGTAAATGGTGGGACCTGGAAAGGATCATCCGAGTGAGTTGTCCCAGAAGCAAAAAGACACGCATGGTATCTACTCACTCATATAAACATACAACATAGAATAAACCCACTAAAATCTGTACATCTAAACAACTAAGCAAAAGAGAGGACCCTAACTAAAATTTTCAATCCCCATCCTGAAAGGCAAAGAGGATAGCCATCAGAAGAAAAGGAAAATAGGAAACAACCTCGGAACCCGCTACAGAGCGCCTCTGAAAGCCAGAAGAAAACAGGAAACAACCTTGAAACCTGCCACAGAGGGCCTCTGAAAGCTTCTGCAGTATAGACTGTCAAAGCAGATGCTGAGCCTGATGGCCAACTGATGGGCAGAGTGAATGGAATTCTATGTAAGAAGTGGGAAATAGTCAGAGCTGGAGGGGACGGGAACTCCACAAGGAGAGCAACAGAACAAGATAATTTGAACACAGGGAACTTCCCAGAAAATCATACTCCAACCAAGGACTATTCGTGGAGATGACCTGGAACCCCTGCACAGGTGTAGCCCATGGCAGTTCAGTGTCCAAGTGGGTTACATAGTAATGGGAAGAGGGACTGCCTCTGACATAATCTGATTGGCCTGCTCGTTGATCACTTCCCCCTGAGGGGGGAGCAGTCTTATCAGGCCACAGTAGAGGACAATGCAGCCACTTTTGATGAGAACTGATAGACTAAGATCAGAAAGAAGAGGAGAACCTCCCCTATCAGTGGACTTGGGGAGTGGCATGCATGCAGAAAGGGGAGGGAGGGTGGGATCGGGAGGGGAGGAGGGTGGGGCTTATGGGATACAAAATGAATAAAGTGTAATTAATAAAATATAAAAAAAGAATATTCAAGTAAAACTTAAGCTTCTACAACAACAACAACAACAACAACAACAACAACAACAAAAAGACTCAGTGTAGTAGAGGAGAGCTGTGATCATGTCTGTTAGAAATTCATAGTGTGCGTGACTGTTCTCTGCACAAGGCAGCCAGCTCAGTACACAGAGAGATTTCGCATACTTTAAATATCGTGTTCCTTGGAAGGCTGCTGGGTGCAATTATTTACTGAGTGAATCAATAGGTGAGGATAGGTGTGCACCGTGACTACCAGTATTAATCTGGGTATAAACTTCTCTGGTGCAGATAGTAAGTATTCATTGTAACTTTTGCGAAGTGAAAATCACAGAAAATCAAATGAATAAAATCTTTGCTATGAGATGTTTTCAATAAATACTTTTTTGGTGTGATTAGTAAGCTGGGGTAGGGATATTCTGAGTTAACAGTCCCAGGAAGCATATGAAAAACAAACAAACAAACAAACAAAAGATAAAAAATTGAAATCAGAGTTTCACTTTTCTGGTTCTGTGTCATTTGACAGGGCACAAATATGTTTTACTCATTGTGAAATCATTGTGGTTCTTAATCCTTGTTTTCTAGGGATTAGGAGAATTTTAATGCCATAATTTCTATATCCATTCTTCAGTTGAGGAACATCTGGGTTGTTTCCAGATTCTGGCTATTAAGAATAAAGCTGCTATGAACATGGTTGAGCAAATGTCCTTGTATACTTGAGCATCTTTTGGATATATGCCTAGGAGTGGTATAGCTGGATCTTGAGAAAGCACTATTCCTAATTGTCTGAGAAAGCATCAGATTGATTTCCAAAGTGGTTGTACAAGTTTACATTCCCACCAGCAATGGAGGAGGGTTCCCCTTTCTCCACATCCTCTCCAGAATGTATTATCACTTCAGTTTCTGATCTTAGCCATTCTGATGAGTGTAAGGTGAAATCTCAGGGTCGTTTTGATTTGCATTTCCCTGATGATTAAGGAAGTTGAACATTTCTTTAAGTGTTTCTCTGCCATTCGATATTTCTAGGAATGGTATAGTTGGATCTTGAGATAGTACTATTCCTAATTTTCTGAGAAAGCACCAGATTGATTTCCAAAGTGCTTGTACAAGTTTACATTCCCACCATCAGTGGAGGAAGGATCTCCTTTCTCCACATCCTCTCCAGCATGTGTTGTCATTTGAGTTTTTCATCTTAGCCATTCTGATGGGTGTAAGGTGAAATCTCAGGGTATTTTTGATTTGTATTTCCCTAATGACTAAGGACATTGAGCATTTCTTTAAGACTTTCTCTGCCATTCAGTATTTCTCATTTGCGAATTCTCTGTTTTGCTCTTTACCCCATTTTTTAACTGGATTACTTCACTTGTTGATGTTTAACTTCTTGGAGGGAACAGGAACACCACAAGGAGAGCAACAGAACCAAAAATATCTGAGCCAAGGGGTCTGTTCTGAGACTGATACTGCAACCAAGGACCATGCATAGAAATAATCTAGAACCCCTGCACAGATGTAGCCCATTGGCAGCTCGGTCACACAGTGTGTTCCCTAGTAAGGGGAACAGGGGCTGACTCTGACATGAACTCAGTGGCTGGCTCTTTGATCACCTACCCCTGAGTGGGGAGTAGCCTTAATAGGCCACAGAGGAAGATGATGCAGCCAGTCCTGATGAGACCTGATAGGCTAGGGTCAGAGGAAATGGGAGGAGGACCTCCCCTTTCAGTGGACTGGGGGTGGGCAGGGGAGGAGAATAGGGAGGAAGGGCGGGATTGGGAGGACACGAGGGAGGGGGCTACAGCTGGGATATAATTTGAATAAATTGTAATAAATTAAAAAATTAAAAAAGGAAGAATTTAATAAGTACAAATAAATTCAGTTATTTAGGGACACACTGTGTAATGTTTAGTACTCTTTAATATGTGTTACTCAAAAACTTCTAAGACATAGTTTGAGAATACATATATGAATGGAATAGGTACAGAGAATCATAACTCAGAGGGCCCAGCAACACTTGGCTAAACCTTATTTCTCAATATTTAATCTAAAATGTCATCGTGGTTTTGTTTTTTAACTTTGGCATTTTTATAAATTAAGTAAAAACCCAGAAGTTACAAGTCCAAATTAAATTTTTGCTCAATTAAAAATAATGACCAACTAAATCCCCAGGTTGTGATATTCTTCAGAGTCAAAGAACAAAGTTGTTTGTTTGTAGATGTTAATGGTAATTTGGCTATGCTCATAAAATATTAAGAGGCAAGTAGCAGGAAGCCAGTTGTTATGCTGTTCTGAAAATGGAAAGAAATTTATTTGGGTAGCAATGTGGACCCTGGCTCTGATTTTTCATTTTTTTTTTTTCTTGGCTTTTCATTTGTTTTTGTTGTTTTATTTATTTATTTTACTTTAGGGATTTTTCTTTCTCTAATGTGTTAAATTGTGATTCAGGGAAGAGCTGCCAATTAGTTATCTAGTACCCAGTGATTTGCCCCAAGAATATATATAAGTGTGTGCATATGTGTGTGTGTGTGTGTGTGTGTGTGTGTGTGTGTGTGTAGCAACAATTAAAGAAAAAGAAGCCATGGAGCTGAGACAGTGCAAGAGGGTGGATAGGAGGAGCTGGAGGGAGAAAAGAGAAGAAGAGATATGATGTAATATATTATACTTTTAAGAAATAAAAATATTATTTAAAAAAGAATTATGGCACAAGTCCACTGAGAAATGAAAAGTTCATTTATAAATACCACTGTCTCTGATAACTGTCTTTAAGGAATTTGGGAATATACCTCAAACACCATTTTCTAAAATACTGTTTTAAGATCTCCTAGTGTTTGTCATGCACTCATTTCAAAATTGTTTGTCTCAAGCTGAAGAGATGGATCAGTGATTAAGAAAGGTTACTGCTCTTGCAGGAGACCAGAACTTAGTTCCAAAAACCAATGTTGAGCGGCTTACAGCAGTCTATAATTCCAGGCTAGAGGGACCCAATGTCTCTGACCTCCAAGAACACCTGCATGCATGTATACATGCACAAACACCACATATTCATAATGTAAAATCAACAAAATAGATGTTTCAAAACAAATCAAGTCATAGAATTTTCAACTAAAATAAGGAAACTTGCAATTTTAGCAACATGGGACTATGAAAAATGTGTTTTTCTTCATTTCTGTTTTCTTTTACAGAGGCCTCGATCTTTTTATTGTTTTTCAAGAAGAATAAAATAGTTCTTTCAAAAGGTTCTCATAAAAACACAAAAGAAAGGGAGTGGTGACAGCCAATGCCCACACTTCCAGCAATTAAACTTGCTTTCAGCAGTCTGGCAAGCACTATCCCGTCAACATTTTAGTTTTCCTAACACAGAATCTCCTACTTTTCATGGACACAATCATTACATATTCCGTTTTCAAAACTGCAAAAAAATAGCCATATCCTTTGAGAAATATTTAAAATGTACTGAAAAATATAGTGTAACAAGTAAATACAAATTTAATGGGATAGTATTCCCATGTGTATTTATTTTACAATTGGGAAAATGAGTACATTTTATGAAGTTCAATGGCATACGCCATATATATTAAAATATGACTGATAATATCTAGTCCAGAATTTTAGTCTACAAAAATGCTAAAGAAAAAAATGTTACCTCCTTCTCCAACATCAAGCCTTCTGCTCTCAGGTTCTTTTCAAATGTGTTTCTTTTGTCATACTGTATGCTTGTCTTTCGATAAACCAGAATGTAATCAATTCGCTTTTTGCCATCTTTGAATAAGAGTCCACTGGATGCTATGTAATTCATGTCATTCTGTGAGGGGGGGAAAAAGAAGAACATTGGTTAATAGTGTAAGGTAGATAATCACGCATGCTGGTTATAGTCACTAGTCAACCGATACCAGAAAAAAAAAAATGTGTTTTACATGCCTACTGAGTTGTATGGAAATATAATTCAAGCTAGTCTGCAATCTAAGTTAGGAAACAGGCAAGCAAGTTTGTCATTAGGTTTGTAATTTGATGGCTGATCCCTGAGTTGGTATATGTATTATTCAATAAGCCCCTGTAAAAAATGCCAGCTATTAACTTCCATATCGACGAAACCTTGTCCAGATGTACTTGTACTCTATCATGTTGATTCACAACTTACATTACAAAGAGAAGGACACTATGGCTGAAAGAAATGAAGCCAACATAACACCATGTGTTATTTAAAACTTACACAAATAACCGCTTTTCTAAACATTTGTCAATAATGCTGAGACCAAACAATCCCTGTACTACAAGCCTCTGAAAATGTTTACACTTGGGATCTGACTGCAAAGTGATGGAAATAGTGCACTCATTAAAACTCATAGCTAGCTCATCAAAACTGGTTGAAGATGCTGAGGAGGTGGCTCAACCTGTAAAAAGTGCTTGCTGAGCAACCGTCAGGAACTGCTTACAGATCTTCAGAATTCATGTAAAAGCCAGCCACGAAAATGTATTTGCCAGTGATCCCAACATGCTTCAGTATAGAAACGGAAGGAGGTCTTCTGGCCTTCTGAGGCCAGCTAGTCTGGCTAATGCAGCAGCCAAGACAAAGACAGTCTCAAACAAGGTGGAAACAGCAGACCTGAACTTTGTCCTTTTTAAAATTTCATTTTTTACAATTTATTCATTTTTTTTAGATCCCGATCGTAGCCCCCTCCCTCAACTCCTCCTGGTCCCACCCTCCCTCCTTCTTCCTCCTTATCCCCTTGTCCTAGTACACTGAAAGGGGAGTTCTCCAACACTGCCGTTTGTCCTTAGCTTATCCACTCTCATCTGGGCTGTCTGGATCCTCTTTCTCTGTGGCCTGGCAAGGCCTCATTGTCAGGGGAAATGGGTCACAGAGTGCACACTGCAGCACACACATGTGCTCCCTATACCTACCCACAAGGCAGTTTGAAGAATCTCTTGCTGCTGTTGCCAATATCTGAAACTAGTTTTATAAACTGATGGATTTTCAGCTTGGTATCTTCCTCCCAGCATTCATCATGAATTATCTTTTTTTAAATTAAATTTTCATTTTTTATATTAATTACAGTTTATTCAATTTGTATCCCAGCTGTAGTCCCTTCCCTAATTCCCTCCCAATACCACCCTCCTTCCTTCCTCTCCTCCCATGCCCATCTCCTAGTCTATTGGTAGCAAAGGTCCTCCTCACCCTCCATCTGACTCTAGCTTATCAGGTCTCATCAGAACTGGCTGCACTGTCTTCCTCTGTGGCCTGGCAAGGCTGCTACCCCTTCGGGGTGGGGAGAGGTTATCAAAGAGCCAGGAACTGAGTTCATGTCAGAGACAGTTCTTGTTCCCCTTACTAACGTACCCACTTGGATACTGAGCAGGAGTTCTAGGTTATATCCATGAATGGTCCTTGGTTGGAGTATCAGTCTCAGAAAAGACCCCTGCACCCAGATGTTTTGGTTCTGTTGCTCTCTTTGTGAAGCTCCTGTCCCCTCCAGGTCTTTCTAGTTCCCCCTTCTTTCATAAGATTCCCTGCACTGTGCCCAAGGTTTGGCTATGAGTCTCAGCATCTGCTTTGATCACTGCTGTGTAGAGTCTTTCAGAGGCCCTCTGTGGTAGGCTCCTGTCCTGCTTCCTGTTTTCTCCTTCTTCCAGTGTCCACCCCATTTGTCTTTTTGAGTGAAGAATGATCATCTTACCTAGGGTCCTCCTTCTTGCTTAGCTTCTTTAGGTGTACAGATTTTGCTATGTTTATCTAATATCATATATTGAGTATCCACTTATAAGTAAGTATATACACAATGCCCTATAATGCTCTGAATACTTTCCAACATTCCTTTAAAAATACTACTAAGACAATTTAGGTTGTATCATTATCTTCTTTTTAATTATATTGTTATAATTTAAGGTAATTTTTAATTTAAATAGTTTTAATCAGATTCTTCCCCTCCCCTAAATTATTCCAGATGATCCCCTATTCCTACCCACTCAAATTTAAGCTCTTTCTCAAAAAAAATGAACAAACGTTAATACAACAACAAAATCTCCCAACCAAACCAAATCAAATCAAACAAAATGTACCTCCTCAAAAAATAAAAAACTAAATACCCTCAACAAAAGTGTAACCAAATAAAAGTACACAAAAGATATAATGTTCAATTATATGTTATATGCTATAATCCTGAACACAAGTCCTGCCTTTTGAAGCCAATCTATCCAGTATCATCTAAGTAAAGTGGATTCTTCTCTCTCTGAGAAGTAATAAATGAACATTCAGTTGCTAACCTGTACCCCAGTGGCTTAGTTTTCATCCAACCATGCATCCATCCATTCATTCATTCATTCATCCAACCATTGATTTCATTCTTATTTGTAAAAAAATAATAAAATAAAATAAGATAAAACAAAAACTATCACATTGAATTGGGACAAGACGAAAAAAGTTACTTAAACAAAACTACATTTACAGATTAAGACATTTTCTGATGACTTTATAAAGGGTGCTATAGCATTCTAATTTCCAAGATCATTTAGAAAATTAAGGCCTTGAACGAAGGCCCACTGACCTCCATTCTCTACTCCCCTCTCAGCTATTTGGATGACTGTGTTAGCTTTCTATTCCATATTTCCTATATAGGCATTCTTGAGATTCAAACAAGCTGCATGACACAGGGGCTAGCATAATTTTAGACAAAGGTATATCAAACTACTATGAAGAGCCTGGTTAGGACAAATGAACAGCTCCAGAGACCTGAGGACCCAAGAAAGTGGTGTTTATGGACCTAAAGAGTAAAAATTCATTCAGATGACAGATGCAAAAGAATGTCACCACAAAATGGGGTATGTTTCTCAGGAGTCCAGGTATGCTTGCTCTGTTCTGCGATTAAGTAGTCAGTCCATTGTGTGAGTGCGTCGCCTAGAGACTACCTTCCTCCTCTCTCCCACCCCCCAACCCTGGCTCAAAAACAAGAACGTGTGGTACATGGATTTGTGTGTGTGTGTGTGAACAGAAAATTGCCAAGATTTTATAAGGACTATTTTATTAAGTAGGGTTGTTTTATTGTCAACTTCCAACACATTAGAATCTCACCTGCATAGGAAGCCTCCACTGAGGCATTGTTCCACTTTCCTTAATGAATGTGGGAACAGCCACTCCAAATGTGGGTGGGAACTTCTTGTAGCAGTCCAGTTTAAAAAAAAAATAGCCATGGCAGAAGAGAGGTCATTTGCTTGTTGCTTCCTTAGCCTCCTTACTGCAGCTGCTGATTCCTTTGGTGATATCAGAATTAGTATTTTCTGCCTCCTTTATCATTGACTGAGAGTCAGTGGTTCTTCTGCAGCCTCCAGGCTTTCTGCTCCAGACTGATACTACTTTAAGCATCCAGCCTTAGGACCCAAGCAACTATTAGGTTTCCAGTTTTACAACTATGACACAGATGTTGTTACTATTTCTACGTAAGCTGATTTAATAAATTATATATAGAGCAGTAGAATATGTGTGTATATATATACATATATATACGTATATATACACATATTAATTTTATCTTTTTCGTTCCTCTAGAGAATCCTACCAGATACAAAAAATAGGTCACCAACACTAGCACACACAACAAGGCCTTACATAATAGTGACAACAAAAGCTATCACTCATTTACTTTGGACCACACATGTAACTGTTTCACTAAGTGTTTACTAAATGCTTTAGAACACTATTTATTTATAATAAACTACATGTAGTAAGAACAGTTATGAAACAATCAAAAAATCCGTATGTAAAAGTTAGATTCAAAATATTTAGCTCATTTGTATGTGGCAACCTTGAAGAAAATAGTATCTATTCTATATAGGTGACTCTAAAGTTATATTTAAAGCATTCACTATTATATCCTGTATTTATCAAGTTTAAAATAAAAACATTTTTCTAGACCTTAAAACATTTTCTTGAATCCTAAACAACCTAAGTCTAACTGTGAAACTGTACGGTTGTTTAACTTAATCCCACACAGCCTTTTAGGCACATTTTGATCTGAATACAAAGAAACATAACCGGCCCCCAGATATCACAAAAAGGAAGCAATAAAACCGAAGGATGACTTACTTAAGCATCTTATCTGGGGTTTTAACAACTATGTTTAAACAGAATCTGTTCCCTCTTTCTCAACATTTGTCACATCTTCATGCACCATCTAACTGTGATAACCTTTTTATTAAATTATTTTAATATCGTGACTTCTCTAGGAGGGATGAGCACTGAGTGAACTCCAGCACTGTGGATGAGGTCAGGTGACTCCCTTCCTTTGGGTCTGCCAAATGTTGTCTACGGTGTCCCTTACTTTCTCTAATGTTCTCTTTTTAGCGCCTCATAACATTTAGGTTACCTGTGATAACCCTTTGATTAACTTATTGGTAAGAGTCTGACTTATCTACTTGCTTCCCTCTACTCCATTCTCAGTATGAAGGATGAGGTACTGAGTGACCCCCTGCACTGTGGGTGAGGTCAAGTGACACCTTCCTTTCAGGTACTCCAAGGGTTTTCTGTGGCGATCCCACTTTCTCTATTATTATTTTCCATTGCACTTGATAATTGCTATCGTGGTACTTAACTATTTACATTTTTTACTGACTGTTTCACGATGGTACAATTAGAATTTTATGAAGGAAGGTGGTCTAGTTTGCTTTTCTCCTGCTCCTTTAATACAGTAATCAAAAGTAGCTCGTGTAAGATTCTTAGCCTCTGTTTCGATACCTGGATAAGTAGAGTCTTTCAGACGCCTTCTGTGGTAGGCTCCTGTCCTGCTCCCTGTCTTCTCCTGCTTCGGATGT